TAAAATTCTTATGTAGATGAATTAGTTACGAGTGTGAGACCAGAAGTCAGTACTTTGGTAATTTGAAGACGAACTGTACACCCACCTCCACGGATCCTGGCCCTTGCCTGTGTGGAGAGAATAGGTCCGCAGCTGTAGCAGCCTATCACCTTAAGCGGTCAAAAGTGAACGTGAGCGTGGAAGAAGAAGACCATCCGGTAGTGAAACCCATACGCCGTCTCCATACCCTGCCACGCTGCACGGCCAGCCAAACGCTTAAGCATAACCAAACGCGCTGCTTGTCTGCGCTCTCTCACTTTGGTTTGTTCTCTTCCACAAAATGCGTGTTTCGCTGCGACCTGGTGAGGACGTTGGCGGTGTACCCTGAGGATGGCGCGGGTGGAGTACGGAGACGGCACTCAGGTGCAACTACCCCCTAATCTCCATTCCTGTGCACTTTTGACTAGACAAAGTGGCACGCTACTGCAGCTGCGGTCCCATTCGCCTCAGAAGTGAGCGTATGGTTTTGCCTTCAAGATCCGCCCACAATAATTTTTAGGGAAAACCTTTTCAAAACCGAATGACCTGTGTGCTGCTTGTAAGAGTTGATATTCATTGAAATCTTTCGAAAATGTACAGTGACCGTGCAATTATGAAGATCAATGAATGAGACATGGATCGATAAAACAACACGTTTAATCAATAAGGGCATAGTGTTCATCATCAGTAGTATTGTATATATGACCTTCATTGACCAGAAACTGGAGATCTTTCCGCAGAGCATCCATATTTACCGCTCCAATGGCCTGAAATTCGTTTCACCGTTGAGGATATGAAAAATGTTCATACGTTAGGGCAGTAATCTGCATGACCAACCGATTTTATGTCACTTTCTGACAGACCAATCGCTTCGTAATTATCCTTTTCACGCTGGAGAAGATCCATGATCTGAACAGCCAAAGATATAGCGTATTGTAGATGACACAGAAATAATAAAAAAATAATTAAAAAAAAACGCCACCCGCGACGCAATGGCAAATTACGATTGCCTTGGCCGTCTGCTCGTGCAGACATAGTTCAGCTGATAGTAGCTGGCATAGCATAGGGTCGCGCGCCAGCACCCTCTGCGTCCCTTCCCCTAGCTAAGACTTGGGCTGGGAGCGCAGAAGATGAGAGCAGCAGAGGGTTACTCTCGCGGAGTACTCTCTACAAGACCGTGACCGTCTGCTCTCTGAACCTGAGCCTTGGCCAGGGTAAGGGATGCAGGGTAGCTGCCCAGTGGGCCAGCTCAACTGCGCTAGCTCCAGAAACGGTACATTTTCTATGACTCGCACTAGATTATCGACCAACGAACACCAATCATTTATCATTTTTCACTGTTAACGAGAGGAAGCGCAAGCACTTCGAAAAAGGTGAGAGGGTTTTGGAATGCCTCCAGAATCCCCATATGATTTGAAAAACTGATAGATATGCCAATATGACCCCTCGACATTCGCTTATATACTTAAATGGGAATCACACTCAGATAATTCACCGGAACCCCGACAGCGGCAGTATCGAATAGATGACTGCTATAAAATCGATAGTGCCCAGAAGAAGGCTGGGGTGAGGCGAAGGGCGAGACAAGGCCACGTCACTTTTTTACCCAACCGTACGCTCTCGATAACATACTCTTGGCCCACAGGCACTTATCTTCCCTTCGAGCGCCTTCATACATCGCGATCTGATCGCTTGTATCGCGAAGTATGAGGGCGCCTTCAGGAATCGCAGAGTAGTCCCATCACTACCGGCTACCTTCATTAAAACTGACTTTGTCCCTCTTCCTCTGGAAGAACAAAACCTAGTGAAACAAAATTACGACTCACCTTGCCTCTCTGACCATCCAGGTTATGCCCTCGGGAGTATGATGTCGCGGCTCCGGCTGTAGATCCATATATTCGGGAAGGCTGTGTGCCGAACACGTTCATCACCTTAAAAATTGCACATGTCAGGTGCTACGAAATAATTGTTTTTGTGGTGATATGTAGGGGTACAGTCTTGCTGGCTTCGGATGAAGGGGCGCCTCAGGCGGCAGAGATTTGTCGCCACCCCAAACCCATTTTCTATCAGCTGTTAAAGGGAGCAAGCGACAATGGTGTAATATATTGCTCGTTTTCCTGTTTCCGTTCAAAAGCTCCGACAATTGATGAAGAACTGGTCTGGCGCCGCGCCAAGCCGCCTGACAAGCCCTTAATCTGCTGCGAACAAGACTGTAATTGGCCTAGAATTCTTTAAGCATCAACCACGCACTTCTGCTTGAGCAGCAGCAGGAGTTCGCATCTGCAGGAGCTCCAGCAACACATCCGGCAATTGCTTGGCCCATGCCAGAGCGCAAGATTGACGGCACATTCTAAAAAATTGGATTGAATAAATGAGGAATTATGAGCGGCTGGAAACCTTACCTTTTCAAAATATAACTTCGCAATCTTCGCTTCAAGTTTGAATGCGCGATATTCCTTGTCATCAATAACTTCCCTTATACTGTATGACATTGATACCTGAACACTTGTTTAAAGGCAGTGGGCACTGCTGGAGGCGGGCGATTGTTGCCAACGTCATTGGTGGAAGAGATGCGAGAAGGCGTCTGACCACACCTCATTCATCCTTCCACCAATGACGTTGGCGACAACCGCCCGCCCAAAGCGACCGTTTCCGCTGCTTTTAAATCAATTTTTCCACAACTTCGTTTCCTTTCGTAGTATGACCTCAACGATTAACTCACCATATCTATCACTTAAGGAGCGTAATTTCCCGACGACCATCACTTTGACGCCCTTCCACAAACGTTGTTGGGGCCATGTCCGAATCCGACACCTGAAAAAAAATGCGATCACATCTTCTAGGTAACTGTAAACTTCGGCTTTGTAAAACGTACCCCATTATAAGTGAGCACTTCATACTCCTTGCTCATATCCTCTGGGTCACCTAGAAGATGAGTCGATGTGTTTTCGTTCTCCGAGACTGATTTCACTGTTCCCATCGTCAAAACCTGAAACTTTACATGCACATACGATTTGACCGAAACTATTTTAGCTTCCTTACTGTTTTCTTCATAGCAGTTTGCGATATGGATTCACACTAGGACTTATTTTGTGTCATTTCTAGGCCGAGCTCAAACATTGCGAATGCTGATTGCCCAAAAGGGTATACGCATAGATACCGACAACCCGAGATCTGGGAGAATCGGTGACAAATGGGAATCGTCTGTATCCATCTACCGGAGTGTCGTGAAGTTTCTAAGAGTGGAGTCAACCGATCCCCAGATGGCGACTCGATGAGCATACCTTCCCTTTACGCGGATTCTTCACCTATAGAGGCCGGCCCTCTTCCACTAAATGCCTCAGATCAGCAGGTTAGAGTCCTCAGCTAGTAAGTCTGAGTTCTCGCTTGTCACTAGCAACAAACCTTGCCTATTTCTTTTTCTCCAAATGACGAGCGAGTCTCAGGCCTTCCAGCTGAAACGCTAACCTGCTCAGTTGAGGCATTTATCCAAAGCAGGCGGGGCTTCTACGAAATCAGTGGAAATTCTCATGGTGGATGGAGCCACCCCTGGCAGTCCGTACGCACCCGGCCCCACTCTTTAACTTGCCTTGTGTTAGATGTATCGTAGCCGACTTCTAAGTAGCAGTAGAAATTTTCCGGTCAACACCCGGGTAAAAGATAACGAAGTTTGGAGGCTAACGTAGGGCAGTGGGGCCAAGCGTGGCACGGTATGTCTAGCCCTAGCCGCGCATGACTTCGCTCCGCTC